TGCACCCACAATACCGTTTTCTTCTGAGAGCTGGCAAGGGCCTTTGTAGAGCTGAGATAGAGGCTTCTGCAATTAAAATTACTGCTTGTGGAGCAAGGGAGCAGATCCTTTGAAGTGGTGTGCTTCAGTTGTATTTCAGTCAGACTGGGATTTAGGATGTGTACCTAGCTGTTATCTTCCAAAAATCTAGTGTAGATTAAGCAGAGCATGCTTTTCTGCCAGCTAAACTGGTAGAGTTAAAGCTAGAGGAACAGGTTACATACATCATGCCAGAGGTTTTGACTTGGAGATTTCTTTGCGTTTGGTCCCCTAGGTACATAGGTTACTACTTGCAGTGACTTTCTGTGATATCTTTGTATGTTTTTCTCTACGTTTGACCTCACTTTTGATTTCTACTTTTAACAGTTTCCAGAAAAATAATTATTAGCCTGCTAGGATCTAAGTGACATCATCTGAATCTTCTGTGATACGTTTGAGACCTGGAGAAATTTCAACCCCTCCCCGCCCCATATATACAGGCAGATAGATGAACATGACTAGCTTAGCTCTGTTGCCCCCACTGTGGAAAGGCTTAAGCTAGAGAAGTGCAGCCCAGCCTGTACAGAGCTTTGAGGTGGTCAGAAAAGATCATTTCTCTGCAAACCAAAAATAAAAAAAGGAATTAAAAAAAAAAAAAGCATTGGTCTGGAACTATCAGTGGCAATTATTTGTTTAAAGAAACACATTTCCATTTTGAGTTTCTAACAGTAAGTAGCTTTTCAAATGATGAAAGATGTTTTTCAATAAAATGCTTGAGAGTTTAACTGGTAGGTTGAGTACATGGTATAATTAGATTAATTTTTTAAACCTTATCAAAAGTTTCAAGAACTTAGAGGGTTAAAATTGCTTCCAGGCGATGCAAATCTTGGTGGCTTTCTGAATCCTGATCTTAAACTTCAAAAGAGACACTAGCCTGTGTGGGTGCAAAAGACCATTCACAGCTTAAGAATAGAAGAGACATCAATTCTTCCCTGCATTACTATGGTAACTGGAATGTGATACGGTTTCAGGGCAGCTACCGTAACGTGCGCAAAGCACAGCTTCTGAGATGGGTCCTCAGAATGCCTCCACTGCTCGCCAACCTTTCTCACACAAACTTGCTTCCCCTCTGCTTCTGATTACAGATGGCTTAGTCCCTTTGTAGGGTAAAGATTACCTGCTGGGTGATACCTTTGGATTCCAAATTCTTTAGAATTTGCGGAGGGAACAAACCGAGGAAAGCCATTAAATATTTTTATATTCCACTTCCAGGCTATAACAAGATAATAACAAGAAAGACAACAGATATTAAACAAGTTAGCTAATCATAAGGTGGTTTTCATTATTATTTTTCCTCCCTCCCAAGAAAGCATCCACAAGAAAACACAGATACAGGAAATCAGGATCTCATCGTAGTTGGGTTGTCTGAGTTAGGACTTCAGCGTTCTGCCAGAAATATCTCCCTTGCCTTAAAACAAGCCTTCAGGTAACATACCTACAGCTGAGTATTTATACTAAGTCCTTTGTGCCAGCATCCTATACATGAAAAGCTGTTGTGTAGATCACCTTCATAGTCAGATCTCATTAATGGACTGATTAGTGGTATTTATATTCTAAGGTTAATTATTTATAGTACGGTCCCAAATGGAGTTTGGGGCAGCTAAAGCCTGACTGGAATCGATTTCGGTTGCTACGAGAGTTTGGGTGCTTCTGGGAGCTTTATGATTCATCAGCTTGGGCACACGACTTGGCATTAGAAACAAGCACAGAATAGGCACAGACAGTATATTGAGGGAAATGAGCATAACTGGGCTATTAATTTCTTTTAAAATGAAAGATGAATGTGCTGCTTCTGTGATCCTCTCAGATTAAAAATACTAAATTTATTGAAGAATCAATCTGTGTGTCAGTTCTTACTGTTTATAGAATAATGGTAATGCATGTATTCTTACAGGTGCGGGACCTCAGAAAATAATAAGAAAACTTCAGGATAAAATCCTAGCAAAATGTTTCTGGCGTCATCTAAAAGTTTTGTAGCCTTTCAAAGCATGCTCCCCGACTCCTCTCTCCTGTGGTACATCCTCCTAAAATAGGTGACATTTTACTATGCTTGCCATGTCAATTCACCCAACCTAGTCAGTCTTTTTAGCTCTCTGAATGAGGCTACTATGCCTTCACTAAGAAGTAGCACATCTTAATAAGAGCAGTTTTGTAGTGCAAAACAATTGGTGTCGAGGAACCAAGATGCATGTTAGGTGCATTTTGGGGTTTACTTGAGACTGGCTTGTCTGGTCCTTTGGCCTCAATATCCACTACCAGCTGGTGTGCATTGGCTAGGAGAGTGACTCTGGTTCAGCTTCATCTGAAAGAAATCCAGTTTATGCACTCCAAGCTTACCCTGAAATTCAAATTGAAGCATGGTAAATGGAGACGGGCAAAGTTGCTTCAAAAGCGTGTTCCTGAGCCAAGCTAAAAACGTAATGTAAATGCAAACGAAGTGCTCCTGCAGCAAAGAAGCAGCACTTTATTTGCTTTTAGCATGAGCTGCGTTGGGATCTAGATTTAGCAGAGCATTAAATTTAGTCCTGTTGCTTCAAGGCATCAGTGGGCACGTGCCAGGGTGTAGCTGGCTGATGGCCTCTGTGAAGAAACTTGCTGAAGAATCAGGGTTTGATGGTGGTTCACTTCAACTAGTGGTTACTGGTTCACTAGCTGATGATTAGAGGAGAATCGTTTCCAGGCATTCACGAAAATCAGCACTTTAATCCTGTTACTGATAGGCCAATATTCTTAGCAACAAGTATAGAAGGAAAATAGGCTGAGTTGCCCAAAGAAAGGTTTAGGTTCTTGCAGGGGGTGGACTTTGAGACTGTCTGCAGTTTCAGTCTGAATCAAAACCCCAGCATTTCAAAGCTATTAAAAACAACAATTCATGGCTTTATTATTATCAAATGACTCTGACTTTGTATTATTCTCAAAAATGCAATATAAACTAAACGTCTACAAAATTGAAGCAATTGTGAAAGTGTTCTGATGGCTGTGGCATGGGACTCTCGAGATTCCTGCCCCTGTAGAACAAGGACTGTGACACAGACAAACTGTCTCAGCATTTTACAATATTACATTGTGTAAATACAGTAACTGTGTATTTAAAGTAACCATTACAGGTAGAGACTCTGTGAATCCTAAACACTTTGGATTTGCAGTTCTCACCCAGGGTAGGCATAAAGGTCCCTCCCCTCAAGTTAGTCACATATGCATGATACAAGCTAGTAAACCATTACTTGAGAGAGACTGCTGTATGTATAAGTGAGTTTGACTTCCAGATTGAAATGTTAATGCATTGGAACACAGTAATAGATTCTGTTGCAGCTATTCACGTCTTCATGAAACATATTAATGCTTTCTGGTTTTGAGACATCCAGACTAATTTCCATAAACACTTTCTCCTTGAAAGCCCTCAAACTCCATGAAAATGGTTTTTATATGGTCAGTTTATTTAGTTCTTTTCAAACTTGTAGAGAATCCACTAATGGTTTTGACATAGGACAGGTCACTTTGTTTTGCTCTCTCTAGGTGAGTGGTTTTGCCTTCCCCACCCCACCCCTTGGCTGTTAAATATTGATGCAATAAGGTACTGAAGCCTCCTGAAACTGTCTTTATCAATATGGAAAAGATACAGGAAAGGACTAAAATGTTTTATGCTTGCTGGCTAAGGCCCATGATATATTCTCATAGCTGTGGGCTCTGATTCATCAAGACTCATCTGTAGCTGTGTTTTAACAGTAGTGAGTCTGCTCCTGAGGCATGTACCTTCCTGTCTAAGTCTGGGTGGTCTTAAGATCTTATTGCAAGCTAGAAATTGAGATCTCTCTAAAAATGAGACTGAGCAGACGTTAGGACAATGGGAAGCTTTTGACTGAGCTTACGTGGCTTCTCAACTCTTACACTGTATTTTGTTTCACCTACCTTAAGTTGAAGTACTCTTATTGTGCTCCATGGCTCTTCTCACCTTTTAAACACAAGGCGCTGGCCTGCAGTGGCCACAGGCTGCGTGCGTCACTCTGCTCAAGGTTGCTGGCTCTGGCCTAGGAGATGACGATAGAGGTTTTCCATTTTACTCCTTTAGATGCAATGTTCGGCTGGAGGCAGGCAGCCAAGGCAGCTTTTATTAGAGGAAGTCCTTTCTGCCTCTAATTTCTTATTTGCCTGTTATTACATTACGTTAATAAAAATTGAAGCCACGACTCTGAGAAAGGGAAGACTGAGGTTAAGTTATTCTTGCATTATGTCTCACAGCACAAGAACCGGAGCATCTTTAGGATGTAATGTGGCATCCTGCCTTAATATCCCACTACACCCCTGCAAGTCACACACTACAACCATGCAAAGTGTTCGTTATCTGTGTGCATACAGGCTCCAGGAATAATGTGGCTGTGACTAAATCTGGTCAAACGAGAGGGATTGTTCTGCACACCCCAGTGAAGAACATCCCTAGAAATAGGGACATTAGATCCCTTGGTGCCGTAGCAAGGTGACCCAAATTCTGTAAGTGAGCAGTTTCATATGCTCCACTAGTGCTCTTTGATTCTTGTTTCAGATAATCAAGCCTCAAATTTGATTTATCACATCAGGTTTAAATGCAAGTACTGATGGAAGTTACTGTATGAAACATTGCAGATACTGTTTAATAAACAGTGGTATGTACTAAGGTTATTTATGAATATTTGGTCCAAATGTTAGGAGTGATCTCAGTGCTGGTCTAATAGTCTGCTCTCGATCCTCCAAATAAAAACTAAGTATGGTATTACTAATGTCTCAGTTCACCTGAAAATATGGCCGCTGCCTTTCAGTTCTATGAAAATATCCTACGGTGTACAAAATATTGTAGTGTTAGCAGTTAACTTTTATATTTACGATGCATACTGGTTTTGTCTTTTTAAATGAACCTCAATCAGATGGTTTCTTTACCTTCCTTTCAGAAAAGACGACGGCGGATTGACCGAAGCATGATTGGAGAGCCAACAAACTTTGTCCACACAGCTCATGTAGGATCAGGAGACCTGTTCAGTGGAATGAATTCGGTAAGTGTGAGTGGATGAAGAATATTCCATCTTAAACAGGATCCAGGAACACTTTATATGAATGCTGTGGCTGGAGCAATTAGTTGAAGGCATGATTCTCCGCTGAGTTCATAAGCATTTCTGTAGAGCTTAAGAACAACCTGTCAGTGTCTTAAGTCGAAATCTTAAGATTTCGACTTTCAAGATTATGGAATATCATATAAAAAAAATTCCTGTATGTATTGACAATATGTTGTATGCGCTGTATAAACTGTATAGGCTATGTGTAGAGTACTTCAAAAAAAAAAAAAAAAATCAGATAGCATTTGTGAACTAAAACAGAGTATTTTTCAAAGTATGCTGGAGTATTTCAGAATGAAAATCTCTTTAAAATATAATTCAGATTAGATTTTTTTATCTTAACTATTTTTAAAGCGTTTTTAGTGTGGTTTATATAAAACTCTGTACCTTTTCTTAGTTTATGGTTCATACCAATATCTCTGTTTGTCCTTGTTGAGGTTTCCTACGCTCTGTTAACTCTATTTGTGACGTGAATTATTTCCAGAGCAAGCAATGTTGATGTCGCAGGCAGAGTTTTTTGGCTTCCTGTAGGTGATAGGAACTATGAATGTTTGTGTATCTTTGAAAGTGAAAAACAGAGGCTAAGACCTATTGAAAGGGAGTTTGAGGATAGATTTATTTTGTACTACTTAGTATGTTCTGTGAAATCAATCTGTTTTTAAGGACAAATTTGTTTTATTAATAAGTGATCTAAGAAAAGTGGTATATAGATAATGAGGGGGGAAAAGTCACTTGATCTTAATAAACTTCTCTAAAGGAAAACGAAATTGTTTGGAGATGGTGAATTTCGGTAAAGGGGAAGACAGTTCTGTCAGAGGTAGCAGAACAAAGAGCAGAGCTGTACAGAAAAAGGCAGTTGCACTGTGGGCAAGTGAGGTCATTTGTAGCTTCCTAGAAACTAATTTGATTTTACAGCTTACTGAGATCAGGAAAAAACTTTTGTAGCTCAGTAGCTATTGGGAAAGAGCAAAACCTTGGAACTCTGACATGGCAAACAAAATACCAGGTTTTTCCTAAAGCAGCATAATAGGTCGGAAGTGATCTGTACTAAAGCATCTGTAAGCAAGTTAAATAGACAAACGTGGGTTCAGCTTGATAAAATTCAATTAAAGCTCATTATGCATTAATGCAATATATTACATTAATACTTAAAATGATGTATAAATTGAAATGAGGAAGTGCGAGAGCGGTGGTCTTAATGAAGCTAGAAGATGCGTGGCTTTTTTTTTTTTTTTTTTTTAGGTGTTTGCTATCCTTCCTGTGAGAACCTTTCTCATTCTCACAGCTGCGCTGCCTCAGGGGAGGTTGCGGTGGTTGCCTGAAGCTTTGCTCTCTTGCCACAGACCAAGACAGACGTGCACGCTTTGCCTTTGTCTTTGCGTTGCATAAAATCCAGCTCATCTCCAGATAATAGATAATCACTGTTGTCTACCTATGTGGACTTCTTTCATTTTGAACACTCATACCTAGTTATATCTGTCTCTTACTTTTTTTCATTCGGATAATGTGCTGCGTCAATGATTTTTCAGAGTGATTTTTCTGATCCCTGACCAGGATTATTTTTTGCAAATTGTCTGTTACTCTCTTTAGAAGAATAAATCTTTTTCATGTAGCCTATTTTCTTGCCTCTTCCTTAGTGACTCACTGTGGTAATAGTTCATCCCTTCTCCCTGTTCATCCTTTACAGCGTAAAGTCCAAGATCACAGTCCTATCTCCATGTGTTTTGTTGCTGCCTAACTTTCTTGATAGTATGGACGTTTACTACTTTTTCAACCTCTCTTTACCTCCTTAGAATGCCTTAGGAGAGCCGCCTGGAACTTCCTTAGCTTTTTCCCATATAAACTGGGTTCTTCATTCAGTGTCTGCTCTGTGCCTTTTTCATCAGCATTGGTCTTTATATATCCTCGTGCTTCCAGGGACAGTAATTTTCCGACTACTGAAATATTGTGCTTTTTGTTTGCCTTTTGCACAGAGAACCTTGCTACTTTGTCAAAGGTAGAATTAAAACAGTAGGAGTCCTCTGTGCAAATATCGTGCAGTTCCCTTCTCCTTCCCAGCACCTTCCTCCTTTTTTACCTTTGTATTGCCTAGTGAAGTTTCTCACTTCCTCTTTCTGCTTCATATTCCTCAGTTTATCCTTTGATTTCATGTATGCCAGCCTTAGATTTTCTCGTTTCCTTTCTCAAGGACCATCTGTGCTATTTTCTAATTCTAGCAGGGAGGAAAAAACGGAAAGAAAGAAATGAATGCGATAGATCCGCAGCACAGCAGATTGTATGATCTTTAATTGGTGCGACCCTTTTTCCCCTTTCAAAGTTCTTGAATCCTTAGAGAATCTGAATTAGACGTAACGCAGGAAAGAACACGGCTGTTATGTATCATCAGAAGGCAATGATATCTTTGAAGGGAAAAAATTGTACTTCACTGTGCTCGTAGTTTAGATTGCTTCAAGAGGAGGATGCTTCGGGAGTGTTTACTTCTCAGGACAAGATTTAGACCTGCTTTTTCTTCAGTATTTTTGACACTGGATGTGTCTCCTACATGAATTGTTCATATACAAAATGGCCACTAGACCATTACTGTAGTCGAGCTTAATTTTGCTGGAGGGTTGGTTGGTTTGTTTGTTTGGCTTTAGATGCAACAGTCTCAGTATTTTAGACTGATGCATCCTTACACAAACATGCATATAGGAGACTGGAGTGCTGAGGAGATTCTCTTACACTTTAGAAGAAGCACTCATGAAAACTTACTCTCCGATTTTGCCATTTGCGTTGATAACGCTGTTCTTGGGGTAGTTGTCAGGCTGGGAGGTGAGTGCAGTGCCGCGGCTGCGTAGCCAGACGTGCCCTGGGGCTGTGTTTCTCTAGCTTTGCTTCGCTAAAGGTAGGGTTCGTTCAGATGATACGAATGCTGGCCTGAAGCCGTTCTTCTGTCTACCTGTAGATTAACTGTTGTCTGAAATAAACTGATCACACTCAAACTGCCGTTAGCCAAAGACGAACAGAAGATGCTGTGATGATTAGCGTGGTGAAACGGGAAAGGTTGCAAACCCACCCCATAAATGGGGTTGCCCTTTGCCTCTGCCTTGTCTTACTGCTTTTGTGGTCTCTGGTGTCAGGCCTGCTAGAGCACTGGCTCTGAACAGGGTCTCCCTGGAGAGAAACGTCAACATCACCTTGCTTTACCACAGCTAAATTACTTACCTGAGCAAAGCACCAGGCTGGAAGATGGCTTTACCTTGTGCTGTGCAAGTACATAAAAAGGCTCATTGCACGGCACTGCAATGTGTTGTGCTGTCAAAGGCAAAGGCCCTAAAACAGGATCTTTTCACATCGATTTGAGACAGGGCGTGCAGGAAGGAGCTGTGCTGATTCATTTGCAGCAGGGAGTGGGGGGTTGCTTTCCTGTGGAGGTTTGTTTAAAAGAGTGAACTGAGTTTCGTCTTTGCAGAAAAGCAAAAATATCCTGCAAGCTACTTGGAGACATATCTCCGTCACTGCTTTAATGTAGCTTTTTAGTCGTGTTTAGAGGTGTCTGTGAAGAGCATACCTGAAATAATTTTCAGCAGGGCCTTGCAGACATAGGTTTCTTGCAGCAAGTCCAATTTCAGAAGCTGAAGCTTTAAACACATATGTTCACGTTCATTGTGTACTTGTTATGTATGCTCTTGGGTGTAAATAGGAAAAAGTCAAAACTTTCACATTGGAGTTGTCTTCCTGCAGGCCCTAGGAGATGATTATTTTGACTCATGCAGCACAAGCACAAAAGAAAACTATGTATTCTCTTCTTTTTTTATTGACAAAAGCAATGAAAGCCAGAGTGGTGTTTGTGTGTGAGGGGGTGTTCTTTATGGATTTGTTTGCGTCAGCCTAAAAATAACTTCAAATAAATTATTTCCAGAGAAGTTGATAGGTTGAGTATGGTTTTAAAAATAAGTGCCCTGCTGATTAAAGGAGTGGTAACAATTAAGGAGAACAAACACCTAAAAAACCAAACAACCCACAAACTTCCACATCCTGAAGGCTCCTTTTTGGTTTAGAAAACTCTTTTGTTTTAAATGGTCCAAAACTAACCATACAGTGCAGATACTATGCAGACACTTCTGAAATTGTCTATTATATTTTTAACGTAACGGTGATGTTAACTTCACTGCTTTATCATGCTTGGCAAAGAACGGTTCCCATATAACCAACTAAATTACAGCTTGTCAGATGGAGTGGAACTGGAAGCCAGCAAGAGATCTGATTAATTTTCTTGAGTAATCAAGCAGCGCAGTGAAAGCCTGAATCAGCCAGTTTTCTTTGGGAGAGGAGAAAACTTCTGCATCAGCACCAGTCCCTCCCGCTCTCCTGCTGAGCTGCCGGCAGGGCTGACGCTTCCAGCAGGCGGCCAGCTCTGCCGATGTCCTCATGCGAAAGTAATGCAAAAGCTTCAATGGAGAAAGACTGCTGGAAAGCCAAACCAGGCCAAACACCAAAACCTCAGGCAAGAATATGGTACGCTTCACTTGTAGCTGCCTTCCTAATTTTCTCTGATGCCTTTTCCCTCGTTGTCTCCAGGTGAGCTCCATTCAGAACCAAATGCAGTCCAAGGGGGGCTACGGAGGTGGCATGTCTGCAAACGTTCAGATGCAGCTTGTAGATACAAAGGCAGGATAACCTTGGGGAAACCTTTCCAGTAAGTATTCCGCTCTTGCTTTTTAGGCACTGGTAGAGTAATAAGGAAGAACATCCTGCCGCATGTCATAATCGGCTGCCTATAAATAGCTGCGTCCTTACGATGCACCATGTGAAAATGCGTTTCTGAGTAGAAGGCTTGGTATCATGTGAGCATGCTGATTTTACTTTGTCATGAACAAGAGATTAATAATTCAGTCCTGACTGCAACAGTCTGTCCTTTAAGCCTATTTTTATACCCAAGATATTACTGTAGGCGAATCTTTGCAAGTGAAGTTAAGTGCATTCCAGATTTCAGGAGAACTTTGTGAAATGCCATTTCTGCAACAGTTCCATCCATTTAATTAACCATACGTGTGATGTTAAATGGATGAACGATTATGTTATGGTAGGAAAATGGTCACTGCCAAAGCATTCAAAAGTCAGCTTAACGTGTGTTTTCTGTGTTCCAGGTTTATGTGAGTTCCTGTATCTTCTTTCCTGTGTGCCCTTCTTTTGCCTTGGTGACTGCTTTCTGTGTTCATGACAAGAGAGAAGTGATGGCTCGTTGTTCACCCGTTGTGATTACTCCAGTGAAAAGTTGCTGTTCTGCTCTGATGATGCCATTTATCAGATTGGTCCTACCGTGCCTTTCGGTGGCATGCACGCATTGGCCTCTACCAGCACTATGGACGTAGAGCTGTTTAGGATTGTTTTTAGCTTTTTCTTTGTCTCTTTTTTAAATTTTTTTTTTTTACTTTTTTGATTTAAGGCGAATTAAGGCATCAACCGTAGCTTCCCTCATCCCTCTCACAAATACTAATGCACAGCATTCTGTTGTTCTTTATTCTTTAAATCTTTTCCTCCACTCAAGTAATTTAGAATTGAGTGAGTTTCCATTAATACTTTTAATCGCTCATTGTTCATATCCATTTTTGAAAGGTCTGGGACCTGCAAGCACAAACGATTGTTTCCTACAAAATCAGCAGAGTAGATGACCGCATGCTTTGTGAAGTTGCTTTGTATGGTGGCCCATTCGGTGCCAGAAAAAAAAATTGCTTACTGCGGACTGATGATACTGTTGCTGGTGAAAAATTTAGCTGTGGCACCAAGTCATGCCTGTTTCTGAAAGAGGACTTGTAACTTAGCTGCTTCAGAGTTATGTCTTTATTTTAGTTTTTATCCAACTGGTCTTGAAATAATAAAGAGAGAGCTTGAATTCATAAGGCATTTGTTGTAAATGTTCAGTATATTTATTTTGAAAGAGCTGACCTCGAGACTGTAAACCAGTGTAGTACCGTATCTGCGTGTTGTGGAAGCGCTTTAGTCTATTTAAAACAAGAAAAGCATCATGTTTGGCTGCTTCTTTTTCCTTTTTTTTTTTTTTTTTAATTTTAGGCTGTACGGTCATTCCCAGTAGCAGCATGTCAAACTGCCTGCAATATAAGCTGAAGTTTAGTAGACCTCTCTAAGTAGTTGGCAGTTCCTGTGTACTAAATATTTAGGGGCCATGGAAGTTGCTCAGAGCAACATACTCATCTGGCAGAACAGATGCCAGTGAAAACAACATACAGGGTGACTTTTTACTGTCAGTAAAAAGCCTTTTGCTCAGGTTCCAAAGCATGTTTCTCTTTCACACGTTGTGAAAATTGTATTTTAATATTGCACTGTTTTCAGATTATGTCTGTAAATGGTCCTTCTCTTTTTTTCTTCCTCGTTGGTGGTTTGAAACAAGTCAATGGTTTGAATCTTGATTGAGTTTTAATGTGGGGGGGAAAAACATCATCCTATCAGATAAGGACAACCGAGCTTAATCAGATTCAATATGACACATAAACACATGTGTTTATAAATATAGATTGCTGTCATGAATGATTCTTTTCTTCCCATCCTTTCCCTGATTTCACAGTGCAACAGCTATCAGGTTGATTTAAACATGTACAAACCTACTTACTCTCGTCTCCCAGTTCACAACCAGTGCGCCAAATACAATAGCCATGGAGGTAGCTGGCCTTCCCAAAGTTGTATTTGAGTGGCAGGTGTCAGTTATCCGCTTGCATGGTTCCAGTTAGCTTGGGGAGCCTTCACCGATAAAGGTACTGATTCGTGACGACACAAGATCAGGATGTTCAGTTGTCTGGGGTGCATAAACACATGGCAAGGCAGTGACTTTTTTTTTTTTTAGGGGTCAGCATTTCCAATGCCACTTTATCAAATGAGTCTTAAATATACTATGATTATTACAAAATGATTTTAACTTTGTCATCGGTTACTGCGGCTGAAATTTGCTTGCTGAAACTATCTTGCCTTTGTCAAAATGTCTTCAGCTTAATAGCCAGAAAAAAATTTGACATATTTTTATAACAGACATACTTTTTTTGTACATTGTGTTCATTCTTGAATAAAGTCAGTTCAGTGTTGGCTTGTAGATATTAAAAGGAAAGTATTGACTTTGATTCAATAAATGTTTTCTTTCAGTTGGTGGCTTACCCTTTTTCTTTTTCAAGTTAAATTTTACACTAGAAAAACAGTTGCAGCCTACAAACTGGTGGGGAAAATCCTCGGAAGAGGAACCTGGTAGTGTGAGAAGAAAGTCGTTTGCAGGCTTGAGTGTGTTTTTTTTTTTTCCTGCCGCTCGACCCCTTTGTTGCCAAATGGATTAAACCTTAATTTTATAAGCAGCTTTGTTTCACTGATTTTTGGTGTGTTTACCAGGGGCCTCTGCAAACATCTCAAAGAGAAGGTTTCTTAATACGACACAAATCCAAAACCCCTCATGCAGTTTCTCGCTCCTGGGTTTTCTTCTTGCTTGCTCTTGATGGTGATGCGGATTATTTTACTGTGGTGATTAGCAGAAGACCAATTAAATACAATATCACTGTAATACATATATCTCCATTAAATCCACCTGCAAGGCACAGTGTCATCTACTCTGCGCTTTGCTTAATTCATTACTTTTTCTTTGACGTTCTCAAAGTTAATTCCTCAAGAACCAATTTACTACTTTAAACCTCAGGCTAAACTGTTTTTAAGAAGGGTACTGAATTACGGGCCATGTGATAAGCCCTTGAAGTTGCCAGTTAAGGAAAAAAGCTAGTTGTAAAAGGAAAGGAAGAAAGGGCAAAAGAAAACAGTGAGATAAAGATCAACTGCAAAACTTTTTTTTTTTCCCAATAGTTAAAGTTACAGAAGACTTGTACTGTGTTCCCTGATGAAAGAGCAAATAGAGTAACGATGGTTTAGCAAGAATTATAGGCGTATTCACTACTGAAAGAAAGGCAGCTCTAATTTGGAAATGTTTTCACCAAGCCAAAAAGGAATTACTGCACCCACCGAGCAGTAGCCTTACTAAAGCATTTAAGATCAATGCACAAGGTTTGTCTAGAGAAGAAGATGCTCTAATATAACCATTTATTAAAATAATTTTTTGACCTCTTCAAGGGAGTCAGCTCATGTTTAGTCTTTAGCCTGTTCAGCTGCCTAAAGCAGTTGTATAAGTCAATTCATTCCTGTTGTATCTTTTTAAAATGAGAAGATGCTGCATCAGCATCCAAATCTCTGAACATAGTTTTGGTCCCAAGTGGCACTGCATTCGGCCATCATATAATATACCAAAAAAACAAAAAACCACCCTCAGGCTCAGAAAATTCATAGTTACAGTAAGATCTGTGGATTTCCTTATCTACATAATGACACATTTTTACCAAGTACGATACGTATTTCATCACAACATAATTATCCTGACTTGAGTACTCTGTTCTTTTTGGGGAGAGTGGGATCTAATGTTAAATTGTTACTAATTGATGTGTATGGATTTGAATAGGGCACCCTCCTACTGAATTGAAAGTAATTTTTTCCAACTTCATGGGGATTCTGTGTCTGTTAATGCCTTACCGTGATTGCTGGTCTTCATGTGCCTTGAAGAGCTGTACCACTTCACATGCCACTCACAAGATTTCCTAAACTTTATATAGCTTAGAAGAAAAAAGAAGATACTATATCCTATTGCGAAACCAGGGTGAAGCAGCACACGTTCATCAAAGAAAGACTGTTAGGTTTCTATCTTTGTGAAAACAATTCAATGGAAGAAGTGGGGCAAGGACTAAGGCTCAAGTAGCATGCATGCCTGCTGATCAAAAGCTTCTGGTGTAGGGAGTTCAGAAAAACAAGTATGGCCCTGGATTTTGGAGCTCCAGCTATTTGAAATTTAACAGCAAAAATTCCAACTTCTCATTCCATGTCCCTTTTTCTGTCATCATGGCTCACCACAGAAAGCCATGCGCGTTTCTTCTTCAACATTTTATTATTCCTCAGAAACTGCTTTTAACATGAGAGAATGATGAAATCTGGTCTAGATTGCAGATTTTGTGGTGTAATGCAATTTCCCTGAGCACAGACAGTTATATCAGGACCCAAAACACTTTCAGAATAAAGACTTTCAAGACTCACTGTTTAGGATAAGAGTTTATGAGACTTTTTATTAACTCTGTAAAAACATGCTGGCTGCAACCACAGGTCAGAATATAGCTATACAAGTATGTTACTGAAAGTAAAAATAGCCTTGCTCTTAAGCAACTTTAAGACCTAAAAATGAAGTTCGGCCCCGTAACGCTTTCTTTCTGAGGAAGTTACAGAGTTCACCTGCCTGCCCAGGCCTGAGGCCACGCACAGTGCGGGCTATTTGGAAGTTAAGTGATCCTGAGCATGGCTGAATGATGGTATATACCAAGCAGGGAGGAAGATTCCCCCAGAACAAGCCTTAATGAAAATTTAACTTTTTCCTATAAGTAATAGCCTGTGCATTAAAGGAGCAATAGCTGAATTTTGAAGGGATTTTTTAAACGCTTTATGTTAGGCAATAAGGAGAAATCTCTGTGCGGACACAATAAACCAACATAGCTGCAGACCATCCCAAACTCGGGTAAACTGCACTGTAAATTGAAGCCACATTTCTGGAATCATTGCTATGAACACACAACTATGGCTGCATTCATTGAAAACCAACAAAAGACGTGACCCACAAAAACATGAGGAAATGTCCTCGCTCTTGACAGATGTCTTATGCATTATTAGCATATATTAGAACAGTATCTTGGTGAGCATATTTTAAAACTGGCATGGGGAAGAACTGCCTGTGCTCTCGTACTATTTCAGAAGAAGAAAACCCATTTACTTTCACAGTATTCACAGCGTGATGCAAAGTGCTCAGCAGTTAACATGTGCACATGGTCACCGAACATTATTAAATCAGCTATACAGATGCTTGAATGCATTATTTAAGGATATGCGATGCGCTATTCAATAAATAATTTGATGAATATTTAATTGTATTTAGCATCCCTAATTACAACGTGCAAGCATAATGTAGTCCTGGCTGTAGATCCATAAATGGTGACAACAACATTAAAGCATATTGAAAATGATGTCTTGGCTCTGACAATGATTAGTGGAAGTACTTCAAAGGAATACTGGTAGCACTGAATGAGGTTGTTCCCACCTACTTATTCTCAAGTTTTGTGCCCGCAGTGCCCTTGATTTGGCTGTACTGCTGACTGGATTGGGAACTAACCTATGTTAAAGGGGTTTTTTTTGGCCAAATTGTTTTCACCTGGACCTGCTTCTTGATGCTTGTGCAGAGCAAGCATAGGAACAAGTGGCATGGGATCAGAAATCATCTCTTTTGGGGGTGTTGGTGGCTTAACCTGGCTGTGGAAAGACAGTCATAACTACACTTTCAGCATCAGGCTTTCTGAAGGAAAAAAAAACATTTGACCTAGTAACTATGCTGCTGCGCTAAGCATAGCAACCGCTGGCACGGTGACTGCTCCTCCTGAAAAGCCACTTCCGCTTTGGGAGAGCTCTGGTTCCATGTACTGGGATGACCGGCTTTACCCAGGCTTTTCTATGTGGTTTGAGGGCACAAACAACGTTGAACACCTTTGCCAAGGGGTTGACTAGCTCATCAGTGGGAGTGAACCCACCCCGGGCGCTATGATTCTCCTGCTTCTGGCTGTTGCTGCTAGTTCCACCCATCACCACTATGCGAGGCGTGACTTTCTGCCTTCAGGCAAGTAGACAGAAATTACGAATTCAGACTTCAGACCAGTTTCCCCAGTGAGCCCTGAAGATCAGAGTGCGGGTAGACTTGGCAATAATTAGCTGAACAGCAAACTTGCTTACTGTGGCACAGAAACTATGACCAGATTATGAACAACTGAGCAAAAGGCAAAGTTCAGTTGTCCTAACACAGTTACTTAAAGATGTGGGGGGGGGGGGGGGGGGGGGGCTTTTCATGGCAAAGTTGAATAGTCTGCAGCCCAGTTAATTTTTTTCCCCAAATCTCCTGTTCTGTTCTTAGATAGTAAGATGTTAAGAGAGCCTATTAGCAAAAAATAAAAGTAGACTGTTGTGCTTGGCATGTTCTTTTAAGTGAAGTGGTTGCTTTCCCTTAGGGACTTGGCCATAGTAGAAGACCCTCCCTGTAAACCACGACACACGCTCAGCAGCACTGGAGATCTAGTAGATCACACTGAAGTTAGCTTGCTCTGATTTTCCAACACTTCAAGGAGGTATTGGCGTAAGTGAAGACATAACACAAATTTTATCAATTGAGTAACGCTGACTTTGAGGGGAAGAGGTGTTTCAACATGAAACAGAGTGCTACCCACTATAGACACTTGTCATTTTTCCTGAAAATGCTTAGCAATAAGAAAACTTCATATACTGATGTCTGCATTTAGAGAGCGCTGGTTTTTCTACCAGCATTGTGCATGTCACAGCCACGAGCAACTGCTTCCTAGGAACGTGCTCGGTTTCTCCCATCTCCTCCAATCTCCTTCAATGTCATGAAGGGGCTGCTGGCTTTTGCTTTGTTTTTTTCATCTCTCACCATTACAACAGCCTTTCGAGATGGCAATTAATTCGAAATACTTGCCAGGCAATGTAAACACACTTTGCATTTGTGCATTGCCTGGTGGGAAGCGACTGAGTGCCAAGCTGACCTGAATGACTCCCGTCAATACAGCAACGGGGTGAGCAGCCCTCGTGCTCCATGCAGGATCTGGGCTCTGTTTTCCACCTGCTGCCACCCACCGCAGTTCCTCACCGAACATGTGAAATAGGCTGTTACACAGTTTCTCAAGACATCACACCCAGCAGGAAAGGTGGGTATTACTCGGAGCGGATTTTGAAGCGCTCAGCTCAGATTTCATAGACTGCGGCAGCACTAGGGAAACGGCTGAAACAGCCACATGGAAATCTGTGATGGAAGTAAACGCTGCGGCTAATGCAACAGTTTTGTAAAACCTAGGAAATGTCCTGAAACCATTTATCTTAGCAAAACATCTTCACAGCTGCAATAAAACATGCAAAGACTCATAATCCTTGGAGAAGTGTACCCTTCCCAGGTGGTTAATGCTAATGTACCTTTTGGCACGCTGCAGCTTTTTTGCGCTTGTCACGGTTTAACCTGCTGGAGC